TTCTCTCTTAGCCTCTTAGCCTCTTATTTATATCTGCAGGGCACCAAGGTTTGAGTCAAAGCCTGAAGGTTCATGATGTTTAGGAGGGGACACATAATAATTAATTATAAAATGTCAGTTATACCTTGGGGTGAATTTAAATTGTCTAGCTTGTGCCAGGGCCTGTGTGCCATTGCCAGTACTGAAACCAACTAACTAAAATCATTTCACCACCCCACGCAGGTCAATGTCTTATGAACAGGGTAAGACTTTGCTCTTTATGTTTTGCTCATACTACTCAGTCTTTAGTGTCGTCTTGTATCCTCTGATATTTGAATCAAATAATATCTAGAAGTTTAGAAACTGTATTCTCCAATCTTATAGCAGCTAGAAAAAATAAATAAATAAAATCAACACTGTCACAAGCCACAGCCAGCCTCAGATCAGACCCTGGAGGAAAAGTTGCAAGGAAAATAAGATTTGTCTTTGGAGTGAGATACTAAGGTAGAATTCCAGGTAGTTAAGTCATTGAAATAAGCATTTTTTCTAATAATGGAGGGCTTTTTTTTTTCTTTGAAGAGGATTCTGCTACCTAGCCCAGGCCCACCCAGAACTGGTGGTGCTAGGACTACAGGTCTACTTTGCCATGCCTGGCTGGGTAAGAGGCAGGTAAGTCCAGCCCATCTCTATGTTCAATTCTTTAATGCTGGGGGAGCCCCTGCTTTGTATTATGGCTGAGTCAGCTTAGTGTCTCCTATGGAACCAAGAGCCCATGGAGGATGGACTGTGAGATTTGTTTATTCCTGACAGTTTCAAAATCACTGTTTTAAGGGAAGAGGTATTATACTGGGCCTTAGATGGGAAGAAAGGTGAACATCTAGAACTGGCCAGACCATGGGGAGATACAGACATGAATCACTTGGGGAACATTTGTCCTAGAAGCTAGACACACAGATGTTACTTCAGCCACTTTCCCTAGTTTCCTCCTTCAAGGTAGAAGAACCATCAAGCAAGCAGACCACAGCTAATGCCCAGTGCTAGGATGGGCAAGCCCATGGGCCCAAGCCAGATGGGCCCCACCCACTGATGAGGTGTGTGTAGGAAGACTTCCTGAAGGGAGCTGAAATGTAAGCCAAGTTGTGGGAATAGTAGCGGCTGCACCCCCCCCCCCGAACCCCATATGGATGAAGAGGCACAGCGATATGTCACACTGGGGGGTTGTTTCCAAAGAGCTGAGTGTGCCAGGGCGTCAGGGAGGTCACTCATGCTACTGAAACTGTCTCAAGTCTTGAAGAATGAGCAAAGGTGTGTGTGCAGGAGAGAAGAGGTGGGAGCAGGGGTGGCTATGGCCTCTCTGGGATTCAGAAATGGGCTGGGTCAGGAGAGGGAGAAGTGAGGCCTCCCGAGGCTGCATGTGTGAGAGAGTAAGGGGGTGCCTGGGAACAGAGTCATCCAAAGGAGAGACAGCTTAGTACTACGTGTGGAATTTGGATCTGCTGGCATTCTAGACCTCTAGACTTCCAAAGATATGGCGATTCTCCTTCTCTTATTCTAGACAAGCTCTCATGTATCCCAGGCTGGCGTTGAACTTGTTATGTAACTGATACTCCCGACTTCATCCCTCAAGTGCTGAGATTATAGGCATATGCCACCATACCTGGGCTTGGTGCAGGAGGTCATGCCCAGGGCTAGGCAAGTACTCTACCACCTGAGCAACATCCTTTAGTCCAGGATTCCAAGGATTCTTGTTTGGTTTCTAGGTTGGGGTGGTATTGGTAGGATTTAGAGTAGAAATGAACATGGTAATGACTGCTAACGTGTGTGTGTGAGTGCGTGTGCGTGTGGTCCAGAAGACGACATTTGATCTTGTGGACCTGTAGATGCAGATGTTTGAGACTCTCAGCCCATTATGCAGTACTGAAATCTGTACTCTGGTCATCATAACTTTTTAGTAAGTGCTCTTCACTTCCAAGTCACCTCTAGGCCTTATTACACTTAAAAACGATTTATTTATTTTTATTTTATGTGTTTGAGTGTTCTGCCTGTATGTATGTATGTATGTATGTATGTATATATGTATGTGCACCACATGTGTGCAGTACCTGTGGAAGTCAGAAGAGGGCATCAGATCCTCTGGAACTGGAATTACAGAAGGCTGTGAGCCACCACATAAATGCTGGGAACCAACCCCAGGTCCTCTGCAAGAACATCAAGTGTTATTAACTGATGAGCCACCTCTCAGTGCCCACCTCCAACTAACATTTAAAAACAGTATGTATGTATGTATGTATGTATGTATGTATGTATGTGTGTATGGTGTTTTGGAGGTCTGAGGACAATGTTTGGAAGTTGGTTCTCTTTCTCCATCATGGGATTGGGGGATTGAACTCAGGTTTGTACAGCAAGTGTTCACTCACCGAGTCATCTTGCTCAAAGTCCACAGGTGTTGTGTACTTAAAACATGCCGGGAATTTCTATACCCTAGCTCATTTTATTTTCACCCTGCGAAGTTGCTCCTGATTATCCATGCTTTATAGTTGGAAAAAAGCAACTCAGCTGGGCCTGCAAAATTCCTACATTCTTAAGCACTTCACTTTGAGGTAACTGTAAACTTACATAGTTCTAAGAGTGTAACAGTACTTTGCCAGAAGGACCTCCAGCCTGCAAATAATGACATGGAGACTATTACTAATTAGTAAAACTGAGCTTTAGCTTAGGCTTGTCCCCAGGTAGCTCTTATAACTTAAATTAACCAATTTTTTTTTATTAATTTACGTTCTGCCAGGTGGCATTTCCTCATCATCTCCATACTAATTCCTCTGCACCTGGCTGGTGACTCTCCACACACCTAGATTCCTTTTCCTCTTCCCTTTTCTTCCCAGAAATCTCACCTATCCTCTCCTGCCTAGTTATGGACCATTCAGCTTTTTATTACACCAGTCACAGCAACACATCTTCACAGTGTACAAATATTCCCAAACATAAGCGATCCTGGGAGCATCCCCTGATGGAAACATCTTGCACCACCTTTCCCCTTTCCCAGCTTACCTACTACATGCCCGAGCTCTAGCTCCTGAAGACATCAATATGGGAAACCCTAGCTAACCACTAATGGTGGGAGCAAATGCAATCCACAGGGCAAGTTAGAAACAAGGAAGGTGGCAGACAGGCATTTGAGGGAAGGAAACCCCGAGGAGACCTTGAAGGCAGGAGGCCAAGGTAGACAAACAAAGGGCAATGAGGTGTCCAGTGCCACCAAGAGCTCCTGTAGGGAAGACAGGATGACAGTTGGTGAGCAGTGTTCAGCAGAGAGCAGCAAGTCGGATGAAGAAAGAAAAGAAGAAATTTCCTAGGATAAGGGTTGTTAGTGGGGGGTTTCAGAGCTCATGGGACAGTGACAGAAGGGGGGGAGTTGGGATTCTCAGCACAACTGAGTCTGGCTGGAGGAGCAAGTGTGCCTGTCTTTCTGAAATAGAGGTGCTGGAGATGACAGTAGCTTTGGGCTATTCAGAGAGGGTGGTTATTGCTTGTAGGGCAGCCGGGAAGGCTGCAGACATCCGACTTCTGCTGAGTTGTTTGGATTTGGATGGAAAGAAGCAGGGCAGGCGGGCGTGACAGGCAATTTGAGGAGTTGGCAGGAGTCCGCGGTCTTTGCAGGTAAAGGGAGAGAGGGTTCAGCTGGCTGAGATTGATGCACTTGAAAGAGAGGAGCAGGAGGACGAGGCCAGTGGATGCAGACTTGTGTGGGTGGTGTTACGGCTGGGGTTACTGGAATCCAGTGATATATCTGGCTCAAATCCCAGTCCCAAGAGGAACTGTGCTGTTACATCAAAGAAGTTACTTACCATGACTCAAATTCCTTATCGGTGAAATAGTGATAACCCCAAAAGGGTTATTGAAGGAGGACCAGATAAGAATGTGCACAAAAAGCTTAGTGTATCGCCTGGCTGCTGGTTAATGCAAACCATGGGATGTGTGGTTTAAGGGACAATGACTGGGTCCCAAGATGTAAAGAGGGCTGAGGTAGGAAAGGCCTGCACAGGACCTTGAGGACAGAAGCTACCCACCTCCATTCTGTCTCTGTAGGCACCTGACATACAAGATGTGTTTTCTGCCTTTCCTAGGTTCACCGAGCTTCTACCCAAGATTTCTTTCTTTTTTTTAAAACCTTCTTTCCTCCCTTCTTTTTTGAGACAGGAGCTCCCATAGCCAAGGGAACTAGAAATACTCCTGCCTCAGAATCCCAAGGGCTGTGATTACAAACGTGCTTCACCACGCTAGGAGCTGGGCCGGTCCCTAGGAATTTAGGATCTAGGGTCCCGGAGCATTTGTCATCTCTGGTATGGCAGGAATTGAGCCGGCCAAAGGCTTAGCAGAAAAGAGAAGCGCGCGCAGGCGCTCACCTGCGCTCGGGTGGGAGGAGCTCCGACCCAAGGCGGGACGGGCGCGATGACGTCACGGGCGCGCCACCGCAGGGCGAGTCGCGTCCCGGAAGCGCCGGAGGTGGAGGGGCCGGCGGTTCTGTAGAACCTGTGACTTCGGAGCGTCGGGGGGAGGTGGCGTGGCGTGGCGTGGGGTGGGGCGGGCCTGAGGGAACGCTCCGGGGCTTGGTGGCCCTTCGGTGCCCCCGGCCGTCCCTGCCCCTCTCTCCCCTGGGCCCGCGTCCGGGTAGGTAACGGCCGTCACACCCCGCCCCTGTGTTTACTGCGTCTGGCGCTCCCTCCCGGGCGGGGGCCGCCACCTGCCGGCCCAGCGACCTTGGCCGTGGCCTGCCTTTCGCGGCTTCGGAGGTGGTGGTGGTGGTGGTCGAGGCCTCTGCAGGCTCTGACCTGCAGATCGCCATCCCAGGCGCCTGCCCAGGGTTCCTTTATTCCCTGGCTCGTCCTATATCGGGAGATTGGGGTCCGGTCTGCCCCTTTCCAAGTGATGAATGGTGGAGCCAGGGTTAAGAGCGTGATAAGTGTTTTGCTAGGAAGAGTTCATGAACCTTTGGGAGCCCTGGCAAGGGTCTCCCAGTCTACACCGGGGGTGTTGACAAAGACTTCCCAGAGCAAGGGAGACTGTCCTCTTTAAGCGGACACCTGAAGGATGAGTAGGATTACCAGATAAAGATGAGAGAAAGATAACACGGGACATCTTTTCACTTGGGATTACCAACTGTCTTCCTTCAGCAATCTGGTTAGTATGGTTTTATATGCTCTCGAAAGGAAAAGATTGTGTTGAAGAGGCTCATGAAAACAGGCTTTATATCCGAGTCGTTCACTTCACTCTGCCGATGGTCAGCGGGAACAAAGTTTCCTCCTGTGTGAAATGTGTAGTCCCTCTTACGTTACAGGTTTAATTATAAGTACCACATGAACTAATGCAAGGGAAATGGGTTGAAGACTGAAGAGCATTGTAAGTGTGGGGAATTATAATTACAGGATGCAGACGTCAGATCGGGACCTGAGTGGGCCAGAGGTGAGCCCTAGCGCGATGCCTGAGGTTCTCTCCGAGTGTCCACCTGCCCCCACCAAGACAACAGCGTTTGATCTTTTCAACCTGGTTCTGTCCTACAAGAGGCTGGAGATCTACCTGGAACCCCTGAAGGATGCAGGTGATGGCGTTCGATACTTGCTAAGGTACAGACTTCAGGAGTTGCTCTTCCTGTGGCCTCTCTTGCCTCTCTGGCCACTTAGGCAGTAGTTGGACTGACTTTACTGCTCTAATGATGAATAGTTCTGGAAACATTGTTTGATCTTTGGATTTATTCAGGTCTACTTGTGTTCCTGCCCTAGGAAAGGCAGGAACCAGGAACTACCTGGCCTTTATCAGGATTCTTTATGGCTGGATAAACTCCTCTTGGGGACTGCTAGAAAGCCTTGGACATTGGCCTACTGTAGCTTTGGGCAGAATTAAGTCCCCCCCATTAAGATATTAATATTAAAATTTTGATTTTTATGTTGCTACTTTTGTATGTGTGGCATTTGTGTGCAGTTCAGAGGACAGCCTTTGGGAGCTGGTTCTCCTTCCACAGTGGATCCTAGGGGTCAGACTCAGGCTTGGCAGCAACCAGCTAAGCTATCTCACCAGCAAGTTATTTTAAACAAACCTCACATACAAATACCAGTGAAAAACTGGATACCATTTTCATTTGTTACTTAGGATTATGGTTCTTAGTTTTTTTCCTAATTTTCCTGGTTTTTCATCTGTAACTTTTTTCTAACTTTCCTTCCTTTTCCTTTTGTTGTTTGAGATAGTGTCTCAGTATATAGCACAGGCTGGTCTGAAGCTCATGTAGGTTAGGCTGTTCTTAGACTTAACAGGCTTTCTGTTTCAGACTCAGTACAAGTGTTGGCCACCGTTTCAGCACCAACTTGCTTTTTTAAAAAATGTGTTTTTGGATGTGGTGTATCCCTGGCTGGTCTGGAACTCACAGAGGTCTGTCTGCCACTATCTCTGGAGTGCAGGGATTAAAGGCATGCATTGCCATGGTTGGCCCCCCCCTCTTTTTTTTTCTTTTAAGGTTTTATGTGTATGATGTATTGTCTGTATATATTTATGTGCACCATGTGTTTGCCTGGTTCCCTCAGAGGCTGGGAAAGGCTGTCAGAAGCCCTGGAATTGGAGTTATAGATGGTTGTGAGCGATAGGAACTGAGCCTGGATCTTAACCAGTGACATCTCTCCAACTCCTGGGTTTATTTATGTTAAAAGTATTTTATTTGGACATATACCTATAATCTCAGCACTTAGGAAGTAGAGATAGGAGTTCAAAATCATCTGTAGATGGATTTTTCTTTGGGCTGCCAGCCACAAAAAAGACAAGAGGCCATACTGTTAATTATGAAAGCCCAGCCTATAGCTTAGGCTTGTCCCATTAGCTCTTGCAACTTAAATTAACCTATTTATATTAATCTACATTTTGTCTCGTGGCTTTTTACCTCTCTTCTGTCTTCTACCTCCTGTTTCCATTCCATGTCTTCTGGTGTCTCTCCGGTGCCTATTCATCTCCTTTTATCTCTCTGCTTGGAAGTCCGGCCTATATTCCCTGACTGCTATTGGTTGTTCAGGTTTTTATTAAACCAATCATAGTGATACATCACCACACAGTGTAAAGGAGTATTTTACAATAATCATCCTTAGCTCCATCAAGTTTGGGCCCATCCCAGGCTATAGGACACCTTGTCTCAAAAAAAAAAAAAAAAAAAAAAACCCACACACATACCTGTAACGAGTATGGTTTTTCTGCCTGCTGCCTGCTCTTGTTCTGTTGCCACGCCAGCCCCATATAATGCACAGAGACTCTGTATTTGATATTATGCTGTTGGCCCAGTTACTGCTAGCTCTGTCTTAATTATTAGCCCATTTCTATGTATTTCCACCTGGTCTTACCAGGGAGAGGCGGCTGGCAGTTCTTCCTTCTCCAGACTCTCCATCTTGACTCCTCCTTACTACTTCCTCTTTCCTCCTTGTGTCCTAGTCCCTCCTATCTTCATTTCCTAGTGGCCAACAGTGCTTTATTCATTAACCAGTATGAGAAACATATATAAATAATGACATCTCCCAAAGAAACAAACAAACAAACAAAAATGCTAAATTGCAAATAAATGGCTTTGCATTGCATTTCTGAATGTTTCAGGTTTTTTTTTTTTTTTTTTTTTTTTTTTTAAGATAGGGTGTCTTTGTGTAGCCCTGGCTGTCCTGGGCTTTTGTAGACCAGGCTGGCCTCGAACTCACAGAGATCTGCCTGCCTCTGCCTCTACTGGGATTAAAGGTGTGTGTCACCACCACCTGACCAGTTTATGTCTTTTAATAAAAGCATTTGGTTTCATCTTCAAAATAATTTCATACCTAGCATAATTAAAAATAACTCTGAGGCCTGGGGCTCTTGGTTTCTAAGAAAGATTATGAGGAAAGGAGTACCATTCTTTGCCTGTCTCATGAAGTCAAACACATACAATCCCAAACATGTCTCCGAACCACTGGTGGCTGCCGTCATGGTCAAAGTAAAATAAAAAGTAAGCCTAAATAAAAAGATACGTCTAAACTCACCCCATCCGTAAAGTCAAAAGGGCACCCTGCCAGTCAAGTCACTTTCCTTCCAGAGTCCCTCTCCTTGATGTAATCTCTTGCTGACAGTGTGGTCTGGGGAGATCCAATAAGGAGAGCAGCTGATCTAAACATTTTACTGTAGCTTCGGACTCAATAGCTAAACTCCAAGATTGGGTCCCTCGTCAGTCAAACCCTCTTTACTAAAGAAAGAACAATCAAAAGCATAAAGGAATCTGACAAACACTTTCATGGCCCAGTGAGCCCTCTGCCAGCATGTAGAGACTACAGCTGGGGGAGGTGCCCTCCATCCAGCTCCAAGCTGATTCCCCATGTCCTCAGACCTCCAGACCTAACAAGTTAGTGTGCCAAGAGGCACAACCTCCCTGGCAGAAGAAAGGACAGCGTATATGTAACTTGTGCTTTGCCTGAAATGGGCGAAACGGGCACACAGGACAGGATGAGGACGCATTGTTTGCTAGCAAGAGATGCCTTATTTCTGATACTTGTTTCTCTCCTCTGATAATTCACCATGTATATATTGACCTTAGGCTATGGATGTCAGCGGCTTCATTATTATTTATACTCTTTTTTTTGTTAGTTTGCTCCTTTTTATTTTGCTTGTTTTTGAGATAGGGTCTTATATAGCCCATACTGGCCTCCAACTAACTGGCTGAGGCTGACCTTGAACTCCTGATCCTCCTGCCTCCACCTCGCCAGTGCTGGGATTATAGTCCTGTTCCTCCACAGTGGGTTCTAAATGTCCTTTTCCATAGCTAAGGCAGCAGCAACATCTTGTCCTAGGAGATTTAAGTCATTTCTCTCTCCTCTTTTTGGGGACTTCTGTATTGTCATTTGGTGGTGTTGTGTGGTGGGGTCTGTATCTCTTTTCAGTTCACACAGGTTGTGTTTACTGGGTGACAGCTGTGCTGCATAAGGTCTGAGCTCAGGGCCCTATGCTTGCTAGGCAAATACTTTACCAGTAAGCTAAATTCCCAACCCTTCAGCTTTAGTATAGTAAAGTAGGTAGTCTTTGTCTCCTTACAATTAACATATATTTGAAACAGTCAGATTTGTACAAGTAAAGATGTAAAGTACCATGTGGGCAAAGACATGTACGTTGTTGTTGTTTTTTTTTTTTTTTTTTTTTTTTCTATTTCTGCCTTTTTTTTTTTTTTTTTTTTTTTTTTTTTTTTCTATTTGCCTCTGTTGATGAATCCTTGTGCAGATGGTAGACTGGGGAGCTGAGGGTTTTTGTTTTTTCCCATTTCTATTGTTTTCTGTGGTCCAGCAAGTGGCCTGGAGAGGGTGCTGATAATGGTCTTAGGAAATTGTGAAATAGGATAAAGGAACATGCTAAAAGAAGAACCTTCTCAGTGTCCCTTGTGAAGGACTGAGCCTTACAAAACATGGTGAAATGCCTGCGGTGGTGGTACACTCCTTTAATCCCAGCACTCTGGAGGCAGAGGCATGCAGATCTCTGTGAATGTGAGGCCAGCCTAGTCTACAGAGTCAGTTCCAGCATAGGCTCCAAAACTACAGAGAAACCCTGTTTCAAAACAAAACAAAATACGGCAAAGCAGTAGTAACCAGGTTTCCCAGCAGATGGTAGGAAAGCTCTCCCCACTGAAGAAGGTTCTGCAGGTCTCGCTTTGTCACCCCAGGGTTAATGTGTGACCTCTTTGTCCCTCCCCTAGACTCCCTCCTACAGATAGGCCCATGTATATTTCTCCTTGGTTCTCTGTGCCCCTCTTCTCCTCATGTCCAGATTTGGCTGTGTGTCTGTGCTGCTAAGCCTCTTACAGGCTGGAGAAGTTGCTGTCTTGTGATCGGAACTCTCTGTGTTGTAGGTGGCAGATGCCTTTGTGTTCCTTGATGACCTGCCTGGGCCTCAACATCTTGTTCCTCACTTTGAATGAGGGTAAGAACTACTTCTAGAGCCAGTGGGTTTTTTGTTTTGGTTTGGTTTTTTTTTTTTTTTTTTTTTTTTTTTTTTTGTGAATCTGTGTGTGGGTAGAACCCTGAGTTGGAGCAATGTGGGAGGGACCACCTCTTTGCCAGTTCAATTCCTCCTAGGTCTGGTTGTGTTGGAACACAAGCTCTGGAGAGATTCTCAGGGCTGGGCCTCTGTGAGACTGTGAACACATGATGTAGCCTACCGGTTGAGGCTCCATTTCGCTCATCTGTAAAGGGAGGGTAACAGTGGTCTCTCCACATGAGCACTGTGAGGAGTGAGAGCCTGTGTGCTGCTCAGCCCGAGCCTCACACAGGCCAGCAGCTGGCAGACTGTAGCCAACCCTACTTGTGTATTGCTTCCTTCTTGCCGCCTGCCGGATGCATCCCCCTTTTCCCATTGCCTTCTACCTGGTTAGGGGTCATTTGCCAACATGACACGGGTAAGGTTATCAGGGGGAGGGTCTGAGGGGACACTTTTCCCCATAGCTGTCATTTTCTCTGCTCCGGCAAATGAGAAGTCCCAGGTGTCAGCGTCTCCCAAGGGTTTCTGTTACGTCTGGTCTGCTGTGACCCAGGCTCTCAGGGTTAGAATTGTCAGGTAGTTGTAGGACAAGCACCCTCTTCAGGAAGTGAGTGAAAGATTCGGGGCAGAGTGTCTAGAGGAGCTGGTTCTTATATCACTGCGTGATTCTCAGTGTTCCCTGTCTCCTAGGGACATAGGAGCCAGTGGGTTGAAAATTACCCCACTTCACACAGGATCATCTGGTTTTGGATAGCTTTTTTTTTTTTTTTTTTGAGGCAAGGGCTCTCTGTAGCTCAGGCTTGCCTTAAACTCACCATGTTGTCCAGGTCTGCCTGGAACTACCCATTTTTCTGCCTCAGCCTCTCAGATTCTGGGGTTACAAATAGAACCCCCATCATACCCAGCTTTCTTTTTCTTAGTTGATTTTTCTTTGATTAAATGTCCTAGAATGTTAGTGTGTGTGTGGTGTCTAAACATCGTTCTAAATTCAGTTTCAAGGACAAATTGTGTAACTAGCATTTATTATGGCCCACTGCTATCTTTGTTGCTATTGTGATATTGTGTTAGAAGGGAGAAGTTCCTGCTTTGAATTTTGTCTCTGCCTTATTATCTATCCCTCAATCCTCAGGACCCCTACATTACCCTAAAAGCCAAAAGAAAGTCTTCCAGTCTGCCTTAGTGGTAGAAAGGGTTAAATTTCCTTTCTTGGGGGAACTGCTAACAGCATCCTGACTGTGGAAGTGAGCCATCTATTGTGTGCATTATTTTATTTTAGTGTATGGGTGTTTTGCTTGCATGTGTACTATATATGTGCAGGTCTGTGGAAGTCAGAAGGCATTGGATCCCCTGGAACTGGAGTAACAGAGGGTTATGAGCCACAATGTGGGTGTTGGAAGTCAGACCCAGGTCCTCTGGCAGAGCAGCCCATATTGTTAAACACTAAACCATCTCTCCTACACATGGGGCATTTTAAAACTTAAACAAGATTGGAACTCATCCATGACCACATACCTGGTGCTTATAGTTTTGAACTTATCTTTGCTGGAGAGACAGAATCTCCATAGTACCTGGTGTGGTGATAAGGTCTATGAGGGAAAACAAAGCTGGGTTGAGCAGGCCTTAGAGTAGGAAGATCTGGAGGCCTACCCACAGTGTGATCTGGAGGCCCTATCTACCCACAGTGTGATCTGGAGGCCCTACCTACCCACAGTGTGATCTGGAGGCCCTACCTACCCACAGTGTGATCTGGAGGCCCTACCTACCCACAGTGTGATCTGGAGGCCCTACCTACCCACAGTGTGATCTGGAGGCCCTACCTACCCACAGTGTGATCTGGAGGCCCTACCTACCCACAGTGTGATCTGGAGGCCCTACCTACCCACAGTGTGATCTGGAGGCCCTACCTACCCACAGTGTGATCTGGAGGCCCTACCTACCCACAGTGTGATCTGGAGGCCTACCCACAGTGTGATCTGGAGGCCTACCCACAGTGTGATCTGGAGGCCTACCCACAGTGTGATCTGGCCAGGCCTCTCAGGCAGGTCCTGGAGAAGATGAGAAAGCAAGCATGTGGATATCAGTGGGCAGGCTCCAGGGCCTGTTTAATGGGTTACCTGCAATGTTCTTGATCTTTTAGGTGCCTGGTACTCCATGGGTGCCTTGATGATTTCGGTGCCCGCCCTGCTGGGCTACCTTCAGGAGGTTTGCCGGGCACAGCTGCCGGAGTCTGAGCTGTTGCGGAGGAAGTACCACAGCATACGGCAGGAAGACCTACAGAGAGTTCGCCTTTCCCGCCCTGAGGCTGTGGCTGAGGTGAAGAGCTTGTAAGTATTGAAAGGAGGCCAGGAATGTGGGCGAGTGAGCCAGTTGCCAGACTGCATGCTGCCGTCTTCATTCTACTTAATCTCTTTACCGGTTCTGAGCAGACACTATTATTATACTCCACTTAAGAGGAAAGCAAAGGCTTAGCTAGCTAGTGACTTAGACTCCAGATTCAGCTGCCTTCACAGCTATGTTCTTTCCCCCAGAGGGACCACTAAGGGTCTTGCTTAGGTGCCACCTTGCACAAACTACTGCTGGGTGAAGTGTTAATCTGATTGTTCTTTATCAGGAGTCAGATAGCGGGATAAGAACTTGAATGATCTGAGAAGCAGCCAGTGACACCCCCTCATCCTTGTTCCTCAATCCAAAAGGGCTGAGACCTTCTCTAAGCCCTGCCCTACTACTTCCTCTGTCTATCTGTCCTCAGTCCTCCAAAACCTCTGTGGTTAATTTTGGTCAGCTAGTAGCTAGCTCTGCCCTCTGACTCAAAGCACATTTTATTGGCAGTCTCGGGAGCATCAGGATGCAGTCACAGTACCACACAGCAGTTGGGCTTGGGTCCTACTGCTTCACTTCTGTGCAGCATCCGTCAGCTCACTTGCTTCTCTGCTCCTCTGATCCCTCACCCATTGGATGTGGTGCTGGGCTTATGTAGAGGATGCTTGTGAAGATTGCTTGAGTGTTGGGTACCCAGGAGGTGTTCAGTGTTAGTCATCATTACCATCCTAAACATGGTGTGGCTGGTGCCTTGAGGAAGCAGCTTTAAGACTGCTGACGCATGTTAACCATGTGGGCTTGAGTGGCAGCTGACTTTTCCTGAGCCTTTCCTTAGATCAGGCTCCATGTAGGCTTTTGATATACAACAGGGGTTCTAACAGAGCTAATGCCCAGAAATTGAGTCATCAGGAATGAGGTTTATGAGAAAACAAACAAACAAAACTTTTTTAATGTGAAGTAATTTATTTTTATGTTTCCCTCCCTCCCTCCCTTTCTTCCTTCCTTTCTTTCTTTTTTTCTGAGATGATCTCATGATGTAGTCTTGACTAGTCTGGAACTCAAAATATAGACCAGGCTGGCTTTAAACTCACAGAGGTCTGCATGCCTCTGCTCCCAAGTGCTGGGGTTACAGGCGTGCACTGGTATGCCTGACCCGGAAATAATACTTTAGTATTTGACGAGAGGCACAAGGGGAATGAAAACAGCTCCACATACATTCATACTGGCTTTAGCTCTCTGGTTTTTTTTTTGTTGAACCATTTGAAAATTATAAACATCCCTTTTGTTTACTTCAAATACTTCAGCATTTATTTCCTGAGATCAAGGATATTGTCTTATGAATTCCCAGTAGAACAGTCAGAATTAGGATATTTATATTGATATATTAATACTTTTTTTTTGGCTGCATAGTTCATAATCACATTTTGTCAGTTGTATTAATGAAGTTTTTTAATATTGGTTTCCCCTGGACCAGGGTCCAATTGAGGCTCATACATTACATTGAAGGCTTTTTCGTTCCTGTAGTGCTAAGACTAGATCCAAGACCTTGTTCGCAAAGCACCTCAGCCTCACACTTCGTTTTTGTTTTTTATTAACCTGGGGTGAGCAGTTCCATGTGACCTTGACATATCTGATACAACACAAGCTTCCTGTGTTATTGAAGTTCCTCAATTTGTGTTGTTCTGTTCCTTGTTAGATTCAGGGTATACATTTTGAGCAGGACTGACATATGACAGCCATATGATGTCAGGAAATGCTAACTTTGGTCGCCTTCTCTACTGTAAATCATTGTTTACCCTTGGTTGTTAATAGCCTGTGGAGAGATACATTGAGACTGAAATATCTTGTTCCTCATCAGCTTTCACTCAGCTGCTGTGAAAGCCACTGGTGGGTCCTGACCTCATTAGTTTGTTTCATGGTGGTTGAGAGGTGGCTCTCTGTTTACCCTTCCATTTGCATTTATTTTCTGATTCTGCAGTGGGCAAGTGTGCTTCTCATTAGTAGTCAGTATGAATGCACAGAATCTTATTTCACTCCACGGGATCTAATCTGTTACGGTCCTTCCTTCCATCTGGAGTGTCCTAGGTTTGGCCAATGGAACCACTGTAAGCTGTTTTGTGTTCTTTCATTATATCCCCATCATTTTTCAGTGCTGCCTTATGGTGTGGCACACCAGAATATTCACATTTGTTTTAGACTTGCCCTGCTGCAGCTCGAAAAGCAGCCATGTCTCTAATGAGCCCTTTGGGTAGAAGGAGAGCATGGATTCTATAAAGTGGTTCCTCCCAATTGTATTAAATAAAATAATAATAAAAAAAATAGGAGAGACCTTAACTGCTTCACCGCAGCAAGGGGGCTCCCAAAGGGGGTTGGAATGGGTTGGGACACTGCCATCTTCTCCCAGCAGGAGTGTTTACAGACTGTCCACTGCTGGCCAGTTGTGCCATCTGTGTGAAGCCAGCCTCTGCATCCTCATAATCCCTGTACTCCTGGATGGCTGGGTGGGTTGGTTTGGGGGGGGCAGGACTTGTTCACTCACAGAGACTCCTCTATCTGCAGCTTGATCCAACTGGAAGCCTTCCTGACCCGCCTGTGCTGTACCTGTGAGTCAGCCTACCGTGTCCTACACTGGGAGAATCCCATGGTGTCCTCACAGTAAGTGGGCCCCTTCTTTTTCACCCTCCACCCTGTAGGACTCTGGATTGAAGTCTCCCCCCCCCCCCCAGGTGAAGCCAGCTCCCTTGGAAAGGGTTCTGTCCCACCCACCTTTTGTTTAGGTGCCATTTAAAAGGTAAATAGTACTAGAACTAGACTAATAGGCAAGTACCTCACCATGTGTTCTACTACCCTGCTATATAGCAGCTGCGCTCATGGTCAGCTGCCTTCTGGAGCTGCTCATGGACTGTTAGCTTCATTTTGACTGTGGGATTGTTTTTCTCAGTTTAGTTAGTTACATATGATATACATAATACATGTGTTATATATGAATGTTTTGCCTGCATGTATGTATGTATGTATACCTTGAGGGTGCTGGTAATCAAATCACGATCCTCTGCAAGAGCCTGAAGTTCCCTAGGCCAGAGAGCTACCTCCCTAACCTATATGTGAGTTTCTCTCTCTTCATTAATTACATCATAAGTAGTTGCACCAAAGTTTTTGGTGTTATTTTGTAATGTAGACTAGAAGTGTATATTTAGATAAGCTCTACTCAAGCGTTTTTGTTGTTGTTGTTGTTGTTTTGTTTGTTTTTTTGAGACGGGGTTTCTCTGTAGTTTTGGAAACTTTCCTGGAACTCACTCTGTATACCAGGCTGGTCTTGAACTCACAGAGCTCCATCTGCCTCTGCCTCCCGAGTGCTGGGGTGAAAGGTGTGAGCCACCATCACCTGGCTATAGTGAACATTACTATGGACTTAGTTTTAATTTTTTGAAAAAAATTTTAGATAAACTTAAAAGATAAAATCAATGCATAAACAGAATGCATGTTTTTGAGGCTTTCCTGTATCAGTAGCAATTATAACTGATGTCTGTCCAGGCTTCACTTGTGCTAGGCCTGTGCACAGAGGTTCCTGTTTATTGTTTTACCCTTCCTGGTGACCCCGTGAGGTAGATGCTGTTTAACCTGCACTTTATAGGTGAAATAATGCTTGAGAGCCAAGGGTTTTGTCAGAGACCAGTGGCAGAGTTTGTTTCAGGCCCAAGTCTGTGCCTAGACTTCAGACCCTGCGAGCGATGGCAGCTGAGCCAGTGCGTGGACTTCCCTCTTGAGGCACAGTGTGGCTTCACCAGTGTCACTGATAGGAACCAGCAACCTGGTGCTCCTGCCTGCTTGCTTCCTCCGCAGTTCTACACTGGTTTGATGGGCAGGTCTTGTCAGTTTGTGCCCAGAGCAGTTTCTCACCTGGGTGCTCCCCTCCAGTCCCTTCTGATCTTGGACTTCTGTTCATCCAGGTTCTATGGTGCACTTCTGGGCATGGTTTGCATGCTCTACCTGCTGCCTCTCTGCTGGGTCCTCGCCCTTTTAAACAGCACACTCTTTCTGGGAAACGTGGAATTCTTCCGAGGTAAGCCCCACAGAGCCTGAGTGCAGGGCGGAGGCCCACTCTGCCCACTCTGTGGACCTGTTTAAGCTTCCTGCTTCTGTGTGTTTGTTGCGCTTGCCACAAGGGGGCAGCTTTTCACTGGTTATCTCTGGGAGTGTGCTGAGGTTGGGTGGCTGCCATTAGAGGGTTCCCTCTACTTTTGTAAGGCAGATGCATCACTGCTTACTGCTTACTTCTAGAAGAGAAGGGAGGGGTCTTTTCCCTAAATTGCACCTTCTCCTGCGCTGTGGCCGCCCGAAGTAGCTGCCACATCTGCTGAGTCTGCTGTCTGGCTTCTGGCTGCTGGGCAGTTTGGAGAGGCCCATTGCTTGGGCCTTTCTATGTTTATCCCCCTCTGTCATTAGTGTGTGATCACTTACTGTATTGACTCTGGCGGACTCTCTGTAGCATAGGGACTGGTGCTGATAGAGAATACTCCTAGAGTCCTAGAGTGCCACTTACTGTGTCTCTGGGAAATTCCCTCTAGAGTTCTCTTTTGGAATTTTTTTTTTCTTTTTGAGACAGGGTCTCACTTTGAAGTCCTGGTGACTTGGAATCCCTATGTAGACCAGGCTGGCCTTGAACACACAGAGATCTGCTTGCCTTTGCCTTCTCGGTGCTGAGATTAAAGGTGTGATATACACCACCACAGCCCACTTGTGTCTTATGTCACCTCTGACCCTTTCACCATCCCTGCAGTGGTGTCTGAGTATAGGGCTTGTCTGCAGCGGCGAATGAACCCCAGGCAGGAAGATCGTGCCTGTGAGACCTCGGCACTGCAGGATGCTGGGGGAAGGACTCTGCTGGACAGCACACCAGCCCCTACACCCACAGAGGTGAGTGTCCTGCCATTGGCAAGAGGGTCTTCCCCTTGTGTCTTTTTTACCTCCCTTTTGTTTATAAGTCATGGCTTTTGGGCTGAAGCTGTAGAGCTTCTTCCTGCCTCGTCTCTGGGATGCTTAGTAATAAGTGTGATGAAAATAGCTGCCTGGGCTTTTCTGAACTCTTGCTCTGTGTCCGGTGCTGTGCTAAGTGCCCTGTGGGGTGTGTCTTGAGGATGAGGATGAGATCATTTGCAGTGGCACAAGAGAAGGCTGAGGCACAGAGTGGCTGTCAAAGGCTCTTAGGTAGTGAAACAGAGCTGAGTCTCAGGCAGGCTCTGTGACTGCTGGCTACTGCGGGCCCATTGGAGCCCTGCCCCGAGGGGTTAGAGGCCCCCTTTCCTGTAGGTGTCTCTTTCCTGCAGCTTGCAGTTTCCTCGGGCTGGGGCCAGGGTTTTGGAGCTGGCCACTGGCTCTCAGCAGGTGGCTCTCTACTGCAGGTACCAGGGTTACCAACCTTCCCTTTTGCCATAGAGTCTTTCTTCCTAGGACCTCACGCCAGGCAGTGTGGAAGAAGCTGAGGAGGCTGAGCCAGATGAAGAGTTCAAAGATGCAATTGAGGTGGGTGGCCTCTCCCAGTCCCCTCTGCGACCAGACCAGATGTTGGGTGGGCTGAGAGCTGTGTTTTTTGTTTTCCCCTAACATCCACGTGGGAAGCCAGAACTTGCTCTGAGCTAGAAATTCCCTGGTTGAAAGCGTGCCATAGCCTCTTCCTTCTCCCGTCATCTGTCTGGAGAGCCCAGGGCAGGGCTGGCTCTGCTAGCCTGTCCAAACCACTGTTGGGGGGTTGGTGGTTTGTCACCTGGGCTGGCGATGGGCTTGCGGTTATGATGTCAGGGGGCATGTCTGGAGGAGGTGCCTGTCCTGTGCCTCTGTCTTTCTGTAGACTGAGTTGCATAGATGTCCCTTTTGGAGGGTGGAGAAAGTGGTTGCATGGCCAAGAGCTAGTTCAGGGGAAGTTCAGCAACCTTGATTTGGACAGTGATTTAGATTGGTCGTTTGAAAACGTGTTTTCTTTGGCTTGTAAACATTTAAAATCATTCTTGGAGTCAGTGTTTAGAACAGGGCGGATTCCAGTTAGAACTGTAGACTTGTAACTTTCCTAGTATCTCAGAGTCTGCAGCCGTCAGTGTAGCCGAGGGGACATTGTCTCCTGTTGGGTAAGTCACGTGGTAACTCAGCTGGTAGAGATGTTGGTTGCCAGGCCTGATGGCCTGAGTTTGGTCCCCAAAACCTATATGGTGGAGGGAGAGAAGTGGCACAGGAAGTTGCCCCTGACTTTTATATGTATGCTGTAGCACACACACCCATGCACATGTCACACGCCCTACATCCCCATCCCCATTGGCTCCCGTTACTGAGGTCTTCTGGCTTTTATTTGTTGTCCGTTACATTGCTGTTTGTTTCAGAGTAGAAACTCACCTGTTTATGTCTGTAAAATGGGAGGTGTTGGAAGAGCAAGAGTCTTGTGAATTTTACTGGGCCCTGGCTACAGTGCTGACTTGCCCTCAGACCTGTGTATCCATTTCAGTTGTGACTGCTATAGACTGCCTCAAGTTAGTAATGATTGTAGGCTTGAGTCTGGAGAGGGTGGAGATAGCTGTGGCAGAGGCTTCCAAGCATCTTTGTTTATATCCCAAGTAAGGAACACATGTTTAGATCCAGGCACACAGTTCATGCTTAGTTTCTATAAAATGTGTGGAACTTAAGTGAAACCCTTAGCCCAAAAGACTGTTGTAAGGGATGTTTCCTTTCCTCCTCCACTCTGTTGAACTGTACACGACCAGTGGGAAAAGAGTTGCACCACGCTTTCTCTAAGCTTCCTTGGGTCTGGGCTCCTTGCAGAGAGCTTGCCTGTTAACCTCGCCCAATGGGAAGTGCTCATTGCTGGGGTGGCACAGCGGCTTCCCCTACCCTCTCATGCTCCTCCTTTCCTGCTATCTCTCTCTGTTTTCTCTTCTTCCCTGCACCCTGGGAGGCAGGAGACCCACCTGGTGGTGCTGGTAAGTAGGAGCAAGGTGAAAGGGGCAGGGCTGGGCTGGGCAGGGTTGCTGAGTTAGCTGTGCCACAGTTCATGGGCCACACCATGCCAAGGTGCCTCCGCACGCAGGACCTGGGCTGGACCTGGGCTGTTCTAAGTGACGAGCAGGACTGGAATAAGCTGTTCCCGCAGGAGGATGATGAGGGCACCCCATGCCCACCAGAGGATGAGCTGGCCCTACAGGACAATGGGTTCCTCAGCAAGAATGAGGTGCTGCGCAGCAAGGTGTCACGGCTTACAGAACGGCTCCGCAAGCGTTATCCCACCAACAACTTTGGTATGGCCAAAGGCATGGGTTGGAGGTGGGGGGTATATGACTAAGGCTGGCGGGACTTAGGGAGTTGGAGGACACCTGGGCCACAGGGATAGAGTCCAAGAATTATGAGCACTTGTGAAGATGTCCATGGAACCTTGGGAAATTTGCAGATGTCTGAGGAAGTGTGAGTGTGGATTGAATGTGGGTCTTTCCATGTCCTTCTCTCATTATTGAGTAGTAGCTGACAGGAAGACAAGGCATTCTTCGGCACATGCTGCAAAGAGTTGTGATCCTGAGCTGGCAGAACTTGACAGCAAATACTAGCTCAGCCAGTGTCCTTGGGCAAATCATGCCTCAGTTTCCCCTTCTGTAAAAGAGTTCTTGTTGGGCTGTTGTGGATAGCGTGGCAATACATGCCATGAGTTAGCACAGGGCCAGGCTGGCTCTTAGTAAGTGGGTGCTGTTTGTGTGGGAGGTGCTCACTGGGCCTGTTTGTCCCTGAGAGCCTGTCTTGGTCATTGTGACCTGGCTATCTCAATAAAGGGTACCTTTTTGGCATGGTGGTTTTCTGAGGTCACTTGAAGCCAAAGTTGTAGTTTGGTCAGTTTGTATTTTCTTGGGGATGTGGGTGGGTCAAGGACAGAGCTTGCAGGGTGGGTCTCCTTTGAGCACAGCTTGGGGACTGTGCTCTTTTCTAGAGCCCTGAGAGCAGAGCCAGCTGAAGTCCTAGGGAGAGCCTAGAGTAGCTGGTGGTTGAGAGCCACTATGGCCTTTGAATTGCAGGTTCCAGAGTTTAGTGAGTTTGAGGGAGGGGAAATCCCTGAGTTTATCTTCGAGAATTTGAGGGGTCTCTGGGGCCTGCCTTCCTGCCCCTGAGTGGTGGTGGCTGCCTTTGCAGGGTTAGGTGTCCTGGACCTGCTGTTTCCTTCTGGGTGTCAGTATATCTTGCTGACCCCTGGCCTTGGGAGACACTCCAGACTCAGGGCCCTTTCGTAAACCTATTCCCATTTCTCAGGTGGATGGGATGGGGCAGGAAGATCCTCTGGACCCAGAAGCAGCAGAGGGACATTTGCCTCAGACATCTCTGCCATGGTCTCCCTGGCTCCACAGTCTCCTTCCCTTGATCTCAGAGCTGTGGGTAGTCCTGGCTAGACTAGGAAGGAGCTTTGGGACTTTCATGGTTAAACATGTTACCCAGGAGTCACAGACATGGTCCCTGCTGCTGATTGCAGCCCTGCTAGGTCATCGCAGGCCCCAGACCCCTTTTCTCCATCTTTGATCTCCTTGTATCTCCCCCTTGACTTGCAGTCACCATCTGAGCTGCTATTGGCTGTCTGCCACTGTCTGCAGCTCCTGTGTCTTGTTGCACTTGGTGCCTTAGAAAGTCATGTGTTCCTGCTTGTCACCAGTGCTTGAGAATTCCACCCTCCATGTCATCATGGAAGGTGCCCGATTTCAAGCTCCTCATGGGATTTTCTGATGACAGAAAGCAGGAGTGTACGTTTCTTGGAGCCCTATGTATCCCTCCGCTGTGGGCAGGCGTTTGTAAGGAACCATTCTGAAAGGATCACATTTGGTGGGATTTACTGCGGACACCTGAGTCAGATCCCTGCCGGCTTGACTGGATTCCAGGGAGGAGAGTCACGGGGTGCGCCTTGATAGTCTGCCAAGCCTGTCAGTGGGAGTGGGGGGGGGTACTCAGTCTTGTGAGGGTGCAAGGGTCAGAGCTGTGGGTAGCCTGGTGGCAGCTGCTCCTAGGGTGGGCATCTTTTGATTCAGAATCCAGACCTTGCTCTTTGCATCCAGCTGAGAGGCTGGGCTGTTGGAGGCTGGTGTCCTTGTGTCCCAGTTAGAAGAGTTGGGAGCAGTTCGGGTTGAGTGGCCTGGGACCTAGCTGAGCCGCTGCCTTTATTTCTCAGGGAGTTGTGCAGGCTGCGCTGCTACCTTCTCAGTGCTGAAGAAGAGGGTAAGTCTGCTGTGTCCTGGGAGGGGTGCTGGGGTGGTGCTTGTGCTGGACTCAGGAGAGCCATCAATGAAGGCCAAGTCTCAGGTCACAGAAGCCAGTGCCCGGCTTTGCTCAGGCCACTGCATCTTCCCTGCCTCAGGCTCACACCCTTACCAGCCTTCTGTTGGCTGTTTTGTCCTGTCTCATTCCCACCCCACCGAGGCTCCTCTTGAGTCTTACAGGATTGGATGATGGGGGAGGGGACAGGTACTCAGTGTCAGGTGCCTGAGGGTGGGCTCCATCTGATATTGATGTTGTTTCTTGTTTGCAGCGGAGCTGCAGCAACTGTGGGAACAGCTTCTGCTCTCGGTGCTGCTCCTTCAAGGTGCCCAAGTCCTCCATGGGGGCCACAGGTGAGGGGTGCAGGGGGTTGCCTTGGGAAAGGAGGGGGTGACTCTCTGAGGCACCCACTTTCCTCCCAGAAGAGACCACCTGGTTGAATCTTATTTTCATTACCTTGTTAACATTTTTAACAAAATGAAAATGATTTCTCTTCCTCTCCTAAGAGCTGTACATGTTTGTTGTTTAAAAAACAAATCAAAACAAAACAAAACAAAAAAACCCATGGGTGAGCAAAAGGAAGAAAATACTCCCATGTGTCCCAGGCAGGATGGTTGGGTGTCGGCCTGTATGTCGCTGGCATGTAGATAGCACGAATGTGCATTCACGTTCTTGAAAACTGGGATTATATTTCACTTCCTGCCCTGTGATGTGTTGTGGTGTTGTGCAAGCTTTTTTCCTTCCGATCTTACATGCTTGTTAACTATAAAATTTAGAAATTATTATAAAGAAGAAAGGAAGAGAAAAGTGATCCTGTAATCTTACCACCCAGAAATTTTTAACCACCGTTAAAACGTTTAGGGAAAATTTCCTCTGGTATTTTATTTAAAAAAGTGTTTTGTTGATGCCAGAAGAATTTCTAGTGCATAGAGCACCTGGAGAGGCCTGCTGTTGGCATCAGAGTCCCAGTGCTCCGTCGTGTCTGAGGCAGGGAGTGAGCTGGGTCAGGGAGGGTGTGGGCTGTGGGTGGTCTGTCTAAGGATGGGGAGGCTAATTCAGTACTTGGCGCCTTGAGCCTAAAGGGTACAAAGAACCGTCTCACCGAGTTCTCCTTGCTTTCCAGCTCCTGAAGCCCAGAGAGAAACTGTGTTTGTGTGTGCCTCCTGTAATCAGACCTTGAGCAAGTGAGAAGGGGCGAGGAAGAAGAGAAGAGGAGGCCAGGCTCCCCCTGGGGCCAGCAGTAGACCCTACTCTCCCAACCCTGGTCCTCTGAGGCGTGTGCTGGGCAAATGTAGCCTTGCAGCTAGGTCCTTCCTGCCCTTCCCCTGCTGCCTCCAGCTGGACTGGTGATGCTCGAAGGCCCAAATGGAGAGGAACTCTTGGAGCCCCCCCCCCCCAACCCCGTCAGGGCTGGCCAGGGAAATGTCCACCAGGGGCAGAATTGAGCATAGCCTGCTCCCATCTGGGCTCTGATGGTCAAGGCTGGACTGACTAGGCCTTAGGATCTAAGAGACCCGAGGTGGGCAAAAGAGGTTTTTCCCTGTCGAGTCCTGGGCATCTAAGCCCCAGAGAGCCTGCAGGAGCACCATGGACTCTGCCCTTTAAATAGCCTTAGGATCTGTTGCTTTTCTAGAGATGGGATTGGAGTTCCCAGGAGTTCATGAGGGTGCTGGTCATGTCCTTGAGTGTGAAGTGCATGGCAGCATGGGAAGCTCTGCCTGCAGGCTCTTATCTCCTGTGATTCTCTGGTGTCCTCGGCTCTGCTGGGATGGCCGTGGGACCCTCACATCACTCCTACCTCTGCCCTGGGTCTAGTGCACCCCTCACACGGCCACATCTCCCTAGCCCTTATCCCATGGAACATGAGGCCAGGGGAGTGGAGCAGAGCTTCTGAAAGCCTTGGCCTCTGAGGTCCAGGAAAGTGTAGGACCGTGATGGGCTGTTCCTGGAGAACAGTGTAGGCTAAGGTCACGTGGTCAGTTTTATGTTCCCTCTGATCTGCCAAGGGGGCCCTGTGCCTCTTAAGCCATGAGCTGGCTCAGGCCCCCCTCCCTGGAGCCGCCCTGTCTTTTCAAAGTATTTATTTATTTATTCATGGTTCCTGGGAGCATGGAGTGCAGGGTCGGGGTGAAGACGATGAGGGCTTCTGCCTGAGACCCTTCTGAGAGCCATGGCCTTCCTCTGGGGCTGTAGCAGGGGACTGTTCTGTTGCCTAAGCACGGACTGGGAGGAAGGAGTGGCTCTGCCCCGAAGTGCTCTTTGCTAATCAGCCATACACAGAGCAGAGAGGGTTTGGCAGTGGGGACCAAGCGGCTGAGCTGTACCCTCTGTCCTGGTGAGAGCCTTACCTCCGTGTTTATTTATACCGTAGAGCAGAAAGGAGCTCGTATGGAGAATTATCAATAAAAGGCCCAGCTTAAGCTATTGTCCTGTCCTTGTGCCATACTCACTGCCAGGGCGGAGTTCTTCGTGCTGTTCAAGTTTTTCACTTTGCCAGGGGCAGGCTGTGGGGTTTGTCTTTGCACACTGTCTGTGGCAGTCTGTGAGGGGGCCAGGCCCAGTGGAAAGCTGTACCTTGTAAACAGGGGGACAGACTTTGTCTTGTGACCAGACTGAGGGCCTTGGGTTGAGGTTGGGATCAGAATTTAAATATTAAACAGTGCAGGCTTTGCGATGGAAAGGTTGTAGCTAATCCCTCCCGAGAAAGAAAGCCAGAAAGGGCCAGCACTGCAGGAGGCTGAGAGCTGGTAGGAGAGGTTGCTTGAAGATGTGAGGTGCGGTCACCCCTGTGATCCGGGATAGGCTGGGTGGTTACTGGGTGTTGGGTACTGCACACATTGTGTTAGAGCCAGTGACAGGCCCAGGAGGTAGGCAGTTCTCCTCACAGTAAGACGGTAGTGTTACCATCCTGCAGCCTTCAGAGGGGTCACGCACCTCTGTCCTGTGTCCTTACAGCTGCCATCTTTTTTCTTCCTCTTTTAAGCCAGAGAATAATTTAAAATCACCTTTTAAAGGAGAGTGTCAGGGAGAGTCCCGGAGTGCATTTTGAAGCAGTTGATACCATCTGGTTGAAAGGTGACTGTTACTGCTTAGGAAGGGTGACTCCCCGGTCTATCTGGTGTCATCACAGATGTGAGAAGAGGGGTTTTGCCCTTTGTCTCTCCTGGAGGTCCCTGTGAGAAGAGATGAGGACGCTGTCTTTAAATGTGGAGCCACCAGACTTCGGCAGGACTGGGTGACAGCGTCACCATGGAGCCCGGGCTACAGAGAATTCAAAGTGGGACAACAGACGGCTTTTGTGGAACTGGACCCGTGCCAGTTTGACCTTGGGCATCCAGGAGCAGGGGACAGATAGCCAAGTTACAGTCCTGGCCCCTGGCAGGGCTGGTCGGGAGGCCTGGCTGCAGCCTGGCTTGGGTCGGTGTGTTGATGATGCTGGAAAGTCTTGGCAGACCTGGAGCAGGTGGTGACTGTGGGGTCTCCTGTCCCCTTTGGGTCCGAAGCCAGGTGCTGCTCCATTTCCATCCCCTTTCCAGAGGTCTGTGTCTGTTCGCACAGCTGGCCCTGTTCATGCATCACTTTGCCAGGCAGCATGCCCAGCCAGTAGTTCATTTTAACGTCCTGCAGTGCAGTGTCTAATTGGTGGGTGTTTTAAAGGGGTAAATAGAGGCACAGGGAGGTTGAGTGACCCAAATGGACCCAAAATGGCATGGGAATTATGCTGCAGGTGTTCATAGCAGCCATGGCCTAAGGGGCTTTGGGTAAAGGTCACATTCTGGGCAGCTCGCTCACATTCTGGCCCCCACTCTCTAAGGAGCTAGCCACTGAGCTAACAAGAAGGGGCTGCCCACTAAGCACCACCCCCTTTGGGCCCTAGCAGAACAGAGGTGGCCTTGTGGAGGGAGCCACTACCTTCCCCAGCTCCCAGTGACCTCACCTCCCTACAGCAACACCCCAGCAGCACATTCCATTCTCTGGTACTGCTGGTGGCTGGGGATTCCTGGTCCCTTTGGCTGGGATCCCTCTTGGGGCTCCGGCAGAGCCTGCTGCCTGGGCTGGGACACTGGGCTCCAGCCACACACATTCCAGCACCAAACACCCCCCCCCTCACACACACATTAGATTTCCCAAGGAGTGAACTTTAGCTCGGATTATGGCTGGCTGAACATTGTGGGATGTGAGCTGGTGGGGGTGTGAGGAGAGGAGTGGGTGGGACTCCATGGCTCTTCTGCCTCTGTCCAGGCCCTTGCAGTGTCATCAGTGTCATCAGGGCAACTTCCTGGAACCTTAACCTATTGCAGACCCCACCCCCCAGGAGGTAGTAAATAGTCCTTTTTGTTTTTTGAGACAGGGTTTCTCTGTGTAGCCTTGGCTGTCCTGTAACTTGCTCTGTAGACGAGGCTGGCCTTGAACTCACAGAGATCCACCTGCCTTTGTCTCCTGAGTGCTGGGATTAAAGGTGTGCGTCACCACCACCTGGCTTAGCCCTCAGACTTTTAAACTGTAGGCTGTGACCGTGTGTTGTCCTGTAACTGGATGTGGGGGTTGTGAAAAGTTTGGAAACAGTAAAAGGTTTTTGAACATTGGAAAACCAAAAATTAACTCAAACTTGTAAATCAGTGTGAGGTAGGAGGTGTCTCTGGAGCCCTGTCCTGTGCCCTGTTCAGCTTCTTATGCCACACAGCCAGAGAATGCTGCTTGAAATGCCCCAGCTCAGATGTGAGATCATTGTATGTTGTGAATGGCAATGTTCAGTTCCTGCTCTTACAGGAACATGGTAGTTTACAGAAAACAAGGTCTTACTATTTGACACCCCAGCGTGCAAATGTCAAATTAGTATGCCTTTGGGTTACATTAGGTTGGAATATTTGATTTTAAAAATTAATGTTTGTGGGCTGGTGAGATGGTTCACTAGGTAAAAGCCCTAGCCACGTAGACTGGTCTCCTGGATTTGATCCCTGGAAGCGATGTTAAAAAGTCAGATGTGCATTTGTAATCTCAGCACTCCTACAGTGAGGAAGGAGGCAAGAGAGTCACCCTGGAGCACACAGCAGCCTGACGTAAACTAGAGACCCTGGTCACAAGGCTGAAGGAGAGAGCCAGTTCTCAGGCCTCCACACCTGCTCTGTATAGCACAGTAACTCTAAAAAGAAAAGAAAATTGCTGACATCAGTTTTATAAAAAATAGTTTAGTGAATTTTGATTTGGATCAGGGATCAGAGTAGAATTTCAAACAATTTATGAACTGTCTCTAAACATAACTTCTGCCATTTTATACTGTGTGTGTGTATGTGTGTGTGTGTCTGCGTGTACATGAATAGCATTCTCAGTGTTGGTGATTATAAAATCAAAACTGATCATCTAAAAAATAAGTGCTATTCACCCTACATTATCAAGCAGCCAAGGTTTAATTCCAAATGCAAGCACATTTGTTTCATTACTGTGCAAGTTTGCTTTCATCCTTAATAAGCGGTGTGTGTATGCCAAAGGATTATTTTGAAATAGATTTATAGCTTATCAGTAAATGTTTGATTTAAGTGCCCATTTTACATTATCTGTACCTGGAAGCAAGTAAACATTTCTTGGGTGAAAGGTTGTGAGTGATAGTGTTTAAGAAGTCCTATGTAAACAGGCGGTGATGGCATGTGGAAGGCAGGCGCAGGAGGGTCTCTCTGAGTCGGAAGCCGGCCTGGACTACAAAGCATCTTCCAGGACCGCCAGGGCTACACAGAGAAACTCCTTCTTGAAATAAAATAAAGTCCTGGTAGTGGTTAAGAGTTTGAGGTCAAATTTAGTGCTAAACACGTATGTTGTACAACTCTTGACAAGGACCTTAACTTCTCTGAGCTGTAGTCACTGTTAATTAAATTGTTACCTCTTGCTAGATGGTGGTGGTGCACACCTTTAATCACAGCACTCGGGGGCAGAGGCAGGCAGATCTCTTGAGTTTGTGGCCAGGTTAATGTACATGGTGGAGTTCTAGGCCAGTTAGGGCTACACTGTGAGATTTGATCTCAAAATGGCTGCTGGAGGGTTTAAATTAGAATACAAAAGCATGGGGCTGGAGAAACAGCTCAGTGGTTAAGAGTGTTGACAGCTCTTTCAGAGGTCCTGAGTTCAGTTCCCAGCAACCACATCTGTAATGAGGTCTGAGGCCCTCTTCTGGTGTGCGTGTGTATGTGCAGATAGAGCACTCATATACATAAAATACCCTTAAAAACTTAATGCCACCTAAGGGTGTATTTCTGAAGCAAGCATCCCCTGGCTTTTAGGTAAGATACTCCTGCTTTCCCCTGCCTTCATGTATCTCAGTTGAATAAAGAATCAATTAGGAATTTTACTGAGCACCTGCTATGTGCAGGCTATGTGCAGGCATTGCTAGGTTAATAAAAATACAAATAACTACTAAGGGCCATCTAAATCTGCATTGTGTCCAGGCACTTGTGCACTTGACAACACCGCCACCTCGGGAAGGAGGTGTCGTACTCATTGTCACCTGGCCACTAATTCATAGGACTGGAGGCCAGAACTGGGCTGTCTCTTCTCCCACCTGAGCGTGTGGTCCTGGGCTCCAAGTCCATTCTGTTTCATATGAGAACTTGACTTACTCTGCACTCTTGCAAATGGTCATGTGACTTATGCTGGCCTGGAGCTGGAGTGGAAGTCTACCAGGTGGGCCTGCCTGCTTGGCTGCTGCTTTCCTGCTCGGGAGGGGTGGAGGCTTCTGACCTAGGTTTATGTCTTACTGTCTGGAAGGGGATGGGGATTGGGAAGAGGACTGTGTTGTGATGATAGGAACTGCAGCCTGGGACATCCTGACGCCCACCTTCCCGCCAGCGGAGAGGTCCCTTGTGCCAGGGGGATTCGGTTCTATTCATGGGATCAGAGGCTTGCCTTCACTGGTTCCTTGAGTCTAGGTGTGGGCCCTTGCCAACTGGGAGGGAAATCATTGCAGCCAGTAGGACTGGCTAAAGAAAACTGGCCCAGGCTTTGCGGATCCTCCCTGGTCTTGGGGGAAATGGCCCAGGCTTTGTGGATCCTCCCTGGTCTTGGGGGAAATGGCCCAGGCTTTGTGGATCCTCCCTGGTCTTGGGGGAAATGGCCCAGGCTTTGTGGATCCTCCCTGGTCTTGGGGGAAATGGCCCAGGCTTTGTGGATCCTCCCTGGTCTTGGGGGAAATGGCCCAGGCTTTGTGGATCCTCCCTGGTCTTGGGGGAAATGGCCCAGGCCTTGCGGAACCTCCCTGGTCTTGGGGAGAATTCTCCTTTCCAGAAGAGATTCTAGGCAGGCTGAGAACAGAACAGCCGGGGCACAGGACCAGCTCTCTTTTTGGCGTGGTGGGGAGGGCCTTCCTGGGCTCTGTGGAATGGGCTAAGGGAGCCCTCTCTACTGCTACTCCCTGCTGCCAGCACCTGACAGAGATGAGCATTGTACTGCAGCCCAGGGCCTGTGTGCTTGGTGGAAAAATAATCTCTGCCTGGTGGACCAGAGAAGTGCTTGTAAATATTTGGTTAGAGCAGGAGGCCAGGAGACAAGGGGCAGATTCAGGGAGCTGGGCATGCTGGGCAGGGCTTGGGCAGGGTGGGTGGCAATGGCCTCCTCTGCCTGAGGAGGGACAATTAGGCTTCTGCTGACTGGGCAGAGGCCACCTGACTGCCCAGAGGTGATTTATGGACAAGTGGTCAGGCCACCTGTTAGTAATGCCCCTGTGGAGGGCAGTTACACTGGCCCACCTTAGTCAACACCAGTGGCCTTTCTGGCCCCGCTACCACTTCTGTTTTGCCCAGATAACATCTTTCCAAGGGAGTACACTTTCAGAGCTGGAAGCAGGTTTTCCTTACTCGGGTGGCTCCCAGGTGGCTCCCGTGTTAAGAGGATCCACAGGCCTTGACTACTTCTGCTGGCCAGGAAAGGCTCTCAGGGTGTCTTCCCCCTGCTCTGTAGACATCTGCCCGATCTTCTCACATCTGCTGAGGGCGCCCACCTGGTCCCCATGGTGAGCTCTTTCCACATGGCAGCGGCCTCTCACCCTAAGTCTTCTCCCATTCCTGCGCCTGTATCCTAAAGTTGCTGTGTGGACCCCAGCTTTCTCCCTCGTGCTTAAGTCCTGGCGATGGCTGCCAAACCCTGCATGCCACTAGGTAGCCTGGGCTTTTGGTGCTTGGCAGAGGTCCTGTTTGCATTACATGGGAGTGGGGCCCAGTATTTGTTAAATGCTCCGTAGATGGGCTAAGGTTTATGTGTTAAAATGCAGATTCTTGGGTTTGATCCCCAGGAATATTCTAAAAATAACAAGGCAGTTTCCATTACAGCAAGTTTGGGTGGGGCCCAAGTGTCCAGATTCCCAGGCAAGCACTCTCTGTTTGAGTGACAGGCATCCCTAGCCCTCAGGATTCTGTGTTTCTAACTAACTCCTGGATAACACAGCTGCTGCTGGCCCCAGATAGAGTAGTGTCAGTCTAAAGCATCTGTCACCTATATGTCAGGACTAGTGCCCAGGAGTATCTGGGAACCCCAGGGGAGAAGTGACATTGTTCCCTGTGGCATGGCCTTGTCTTAGACCCCTCTGACCTGGAACTGCCCAGATAGGGACAGTGCATGGCTATGGGATCAGGTTGGGAAACGGCAATTCTGTCCTTAGGGTCAAAGGGTGGTCATCTCTGACTCTCACTTAGTGGTTGGGAGGTGAGGGTGACCCTCACCTTATGTTCTTGGGGAACATTGCCTTTTTTAGGTCAGTGGACCAAGCCCTGGCTTAGGATATTGACCGTCACTCTATGCCATCTGAAACTCCCTGTCTTCCAGTCTTTCCATAGCTACTGGATAAAGAAATTAACTGGTCCAAAGCAACAACTGCTTTCTTTTATTTAATTAAAAACTTAAAAAAAATATTAGGAACCAAACCTGTTGTCTAAAACCAGTGGCCTCACAGCAGTAGCAATAATTTATTGTGGTTGGACGCAAGGGTGTGGGGGGCTGAGGCAAGAGCTAGGAAACAAGTCTATGTGACAATGTCTGCAGCAGCTGCTGATCCGGCTTTCCTGTCCAGCGGGGCTCCAGATGAGAGGCGGGTGTGGCTGGAGGACATGGAGGCCTGACTCTTTTCTTTGGAGGCCCATGATGACACAGAGTGGGAGGAAAGCTGTCCTTTAAGCACTGAGGTCCCTCTTAACCGTGAGACCCACTGTTCTTCCTGGAGATGCCCTCCCCAGGCTGCAGGAGGCCCTGCATCCTTCCTTCACACTTCTCTGCCTGCTTTCTCAGACACGGGGGGGGGGTTCCCCCCTCCAAAGGAGAAAGCCTCTCTTATGAGGGAGGAGCCCCTGATAGATCCCAGGATTCCAGGACCCTTCAGACAAGCAGGGTAGCCCTATGCTGTCCTTTGGAGCCTGTGCAAGTAGTAGTTGCGTAAAGACACCTTTGCCAGGGACTGGGTCAGCCTGGGAGTGGGGGTGAGGCCAGGTGGGCAGGGACAGAGGGCAAGGCACAGCTGGCTGGCTGGGGCAAGGAGGCGGGCCCTTCAGTGGGGTTCAGCTGCCCCGTAGAAAAAAGGGTAGTAGAGGGAACAGGGGTATGAGAACATGAACTTGACTGCAAACTTCATTTCCTTGTTCTTCTTGTCCCATCGGTAGACAGCCATAAGTAGCAGCTGCCCCTCCACTTTGCGGCCCATGACCAGGAAGCTGCCTGTTAGGCTGTCCAGCTGTGGGCAGGGGCAGCCTGCACCATTCTTCATGTGCAAGACCAGCTTCTTGGTGTCCTTGCGCTTTAAAGGGCCTGCCTTGAGCAGCTTCTTCTTCTTCTGGGCTCCAATCAACTTCCGGTCCCCGTTGTCTATCTTGATCTCTTTAATTCGCATCTTGACCACTGTGGAAAGGATGGGCAGAGGGTGGTCTGAAAAGTGTCAACCTTTGTTTGGGACAGCAGGAGCCCTAAATTGATACCAGGAAGCTCTTGGGAAGCCTGCTGAGGTGTGGGACTTGGATGGCTGGACTCCTGAATGTTTATGAAGCTCCTATGGGCTGGACTTCCATGGTCATTGTGGGCGGGTTTTCAGCTTCAAGTACAATAGGTGAAATGGGAAGGGTGTGTCCTGCCTGAGTTCTGGAGTCCAAAACCCATTATGATCACCCAGCTTCATAGTCACAGTGCTCCATAACACCAGCGCAGGATGGAAGGTGGCTGCCCATCCGGAGCGGGCTGATTCTAATGGAATCTAGGTGTGTGTGTGTGTGGGGGGGAGATGTGAGTAGGTAGAGTGGTGGGGGAGGAGGGGTTCTACTATGTAGCATTGCTGATATCCATCCTGGCTGGCCACATCACTGGGCATGGGATTGGGAAAGATGTCCACAGAACTGCTCTGGTGTGAACCCACCATATAATTGTGTGTGTGTGTGTGTGTGTGAGAGAGAGAGAGAGAGAGAGAGAGAGACAGAGAGAGAGACAGAGAGAGAAAGGGAGCGAGAGATCATATAGTGTGGGCAAGAATGTATGTGGTATGTCTGTGTGGAAGTTTGTTGTAGTATGTGTAGGAGTGTAAGTGAATGTTCAGGGTAGGGAGGTAAGGTCCCGGCCTGTGGCTTGAGTCATAGTTGAGGTCACTCACAAGTGGCCACAGAAACCCAATACAGCTAGGGACAGGAATCCTGGGCTGAGGCCCTCTGGCCAGCTTCACCCTTCTACAGCTAGCCTCCATTTCTCAAGAAGCCACAGAATAGAGTACTTTGACCAGTCAGAAAGGGAATTGGCCTAAAACAACTTCTCCCTTTTCCCTCCCCTGCTCCGCCCTCTGCAATGATAACAACATTTTCTTTCTAAAGAGGCTACCTACATAAAGATGTGGCTGAAGTAAGAGTTTCATCATTGTTCTTTCCCATTTTTATAGATGAGGAGGTGAGGACACAAAACAGAACCAACTTTGTAAAGATCACATGCAGAACTCTGGCCCATAGTGAGCTTGGTCCTAACTGGCTTGGTTCAGTTCTCCCAGGATAGGAAGTGTCCAAGAGGGAGCTGTGGGGAAAGCTAGTCACAACCAGCCCTGGCCAGAGGACCACTGGTCACTCAGCAGAGATTCCAGGGGACAGGGGACTCTACTTCTATCCCGGAGTCCTGTGTCCTGTGAGGACCCCATTCATCTCTGGCTGAGCTTGCACCAGCCATGGAGACCTCTCTGTGGACATTTCCTTAGTCAGGTGGGGTTGGTTGTGACCCAGGCTGCTGGGTGGGGGTGTGCTAGGGCTGTGGTCCTGTGAGCCCATACTCACCAAAGTCGCTGGAGCACATCTGTTCCATGAGGCCGTCAGCACTGTCCTCCATCTCACACTGGGCACAGATCTTGGTCACTGAAGAGAGAGAGCAGAGTGGATGGAATCCCAACAGCCAGGACAGTACAGGCTGCTCCGATAACCTCCCTCCTCACAAAAGCTGCTCTGTGATTCCTAACCAGGAAATGGGACGATGGCAATGACAATCCGTGGCTATCAACTCAAGAGATCATATAGTTAGTGTAGGGACAATGTGGTGAGGGGGGCATTGTTTCCCCAAGGCAGCTGCCACATAACACACGAGTCCCATCTAACACTCTGCTTGTGAAGCTGGCACTGCCTTTTCTACTTACAGCAAAGGAGTACTGTGGGTAATAAAGGTAGCAAAGCTTAGGGTTCACCATTGTGCTTCTACTCTATGGCCAGGGCAGATGTGTTTGCAGGGGTTAGGCAAGTGGGTAGCCAGCAGAGCATTAACTTAGAATCTCTCAAAGAAAGCCCAAATGACTCATTTTTTGTGAAATGTCTGAATGTCATCTGTTGCTCACATACACACCTTTCTACAGCTTGCCCATTGTCCACCCCACTTCCCAATCTGACGTTTGTTTGGATTCTCTTATGTGCCTGCCTCCAGATGAGCAGGCTTCATTGGGAAAGGGAATCATGGGGTGGCAAGGCAGGGTCCAGCTGGGTTCTGAGCCTAAGTCCTGATTTCTCAGGCTGTTCATGTTTGGGCTCCAAAGAAATTATAAAAGAACCTGTAGGGACTTCTGGGGACTGTGGACATATTGCTTAGCTGGCACTGTTCTGCTTGCCTGCAACTTCCAGCCTTCAGGATAGGGAATTTCCCCTCCCAGAATTCCACAGGAAGGGAGAAGGTGAGAGCATCCTAGGACTGACTAAGCAGTTAACATTAGCGTTGGGAGAGAGGGTAGGGTGGTTTAAGGAGGGGCTCAGATGATTTCTGGGGAGTAGGGAGAGAAGAAAAGGAATGGAGTTTTGCCTGTTCCAGCCATGGGGGTTCATGGGAATTCTTGCTTTCCCATGCTAACTGCCCAGGCAAAGATAGCCTGCTGGGTGTCATCCTGGGTGGGGTATTAGGCATTTGGAAGGATACCTGCATTCTGGGAGAAAGGAGGAGGGGTGTGGCTTCTAACCTTGGGACAGTTTTGAGATCAAGCAGAAATCAGGCATGGTGGCAATAATCGTGCCTAGGTGCCAGTGGGAAGCAGGACTTGGGAGCTCAAGAAGCTGGGATTTTACTGTTGAGGAAAGGAGGCTCAGAAAAGTTAAGAATCACAAAGATAACCAGACTAGGAATTGGAGAAGTTAGGATTCCAGGCATAGAAACATAGGGACCTCAGTTCTTCCCCAACCATCTGCCTCCTCCCCGAGTTCCCGCGTCATCTGGGAGGAGTGGTGCATGTCCGGGTGCTTGCAGATCAGTTCAAAGGCACTGTCTAGCGACCCCAAACATTCTTAAGACAAGGAAGGCAATAAGGCATTTATGGGGACGCCCTCAGGGTACCCAGGGATTCCTCAGCTCGTGAAAGCAAGCATGCCGTAAACTACACACGATGCACAGATCAGAGTCGGCAGAGAACCAGCGGGTTAAGAGCCTCAGGTTCATAAAAGTGGCAAGAAAAACCGAGACCATTACTGGGCGCTGGACGTATGGTGTGTGCGCGCGTGCGTTGTGTATGTAGGGGCTTGGCACCTATCCGGGCATGTTTGGGGAGAGACATCTGTCCGACCCCAGGTTGCTGACCCGCGGGACCATGGGGGCGCAAGGGGCCCTGGTGGCGCTACCTGGAGGTGCGGTGGCAGGCAGGTGACCAAACTGCACCGCGATGCAGAGGTCGTTGTCCAGGGGGAACTTGTGGCAGTGCAGCATCTCGGGCCAGGGGAAGCCGTAGGCCTCCATGAGCGGCGCGCAGCCTGCGCGCACGGCCTCGCACAGAGAGCGGCACGGGTAGATGGGCCGGTCTAGGCAGACGGGCGCGAAGAGCGAGCAGAGGAAGACCTGGGTGTCCGAGTGACAGCGCTTGGCCAGCAGCGGCAGCCAGCTGCTCGCCTGCTGCTTTACCTCGGCTAGGCTCTCGTGCTCCAGCAGGTTGGGCAGTCGCATGCGCTTGTAGCCCACCGTGTGGCAGAGTGGCAGATCGGCGGGGATGTCGAGGCATTGCGGTGGCTTGGAATAGGAGCGGCCGTGCAGCGGCTCAGCCTGCCAGCCAAAGTAGTCGTACTCCTGGCCGCGCGCCGGAGTCCCATGCAGCGCCCCGAGCAGCAGCGCCAGCGCGGCGGTCCGCGCGCCTCCAGCCACCCGCATGGCTGGATGTTGCCGTCCGCCCCGACGGCTCGATGCTCGGCGCCTGGCTGCCCCGTGTGTGTCCCGGTCGGGATGCTCCCTGTAACCGTCCGCGCTGCTCGAGTCGTCCAAGTAGGTGGCAGCCTGTGCTCTGCTCCGCTGCCGGGAGTGATCCAGGCGCCTCCCACATCGGGGCTCCAGTCTAGTCCCCCCCCCCCTCCGACTCCCCATCCCCGCCCTGGGTTGGCGGACCTGGGAGGAGCCCTGGAGTCTCTCCCGCCCTGTTCTGGTTCGTTCCCGCCCGCCCCGCCTCGCCCCACCTTGCGACCCTGGCAGCCCAGTCCTCTCCTTGTACCTCTTCCTGGAGCTCGGCATTTTCCTCACCCTTGGCCTCATCTCCATCCTTCTTATCTCTCTCCGCCACAGTCTCTCCTGTTCCTTTTCTCACTCACTTCACCTGCTTATCTCTCTGACTCGGCCTTTCCCTGCTCCGCTCTGGTTTCCCTTCCCTAACACCTTCATTGCTCTTCTCTGATACCGAAGTCTCTTGACCATCCCCGCCCTTCTGGCCAGGGGGCAGAGCTTCACCCTGAGGTCTGCAAGTATCCCCTGAGATTCTGCCCAGAGCCAGGCACCTTGCAGCCTGCTGGGAATAGTGGATGGCCAAGACCCAGACATGGAGGTCAAGGGGTGGGGTGAAACGAATTTGGACTTCTATTTAATGAGTTCCTACTAAGTGCCATGGACGTTTGTGCCACACTGCAGAATCTTATCAACGCCTCTTTCTAATGAAAGTTTTCATCCAGTGGGTGCTAATTGTGCTTGGAGACTGTTCTAGGCACATTTCATAAACAACCCTCATTTAATTCTTACAGCAATGCTATGAGGAGGGTAGGTACCACCACTTTACAGATAAAGACACAGAGGCTGAAGTTAGGCAAGGATTAGAGTGGCCATTGAATCTGGGTAGTTTGTTTTCACAGTCAGAGCCCAGAAACAGCAAAAAGATCTGGATTCTGAGGGTTCAGAGTAGTGGAGATAATTGTCCCGGGGTTACACAGCTCATGTACTAAAGAAGGCAGGATTTGGATTCAGGCATTAGGCTCCAAAGAGAGAGCTTCACTATTCTTGTTTAAGATAGTGTCCAACCTGGGGCAGGAACCCGTGCTGTCATCCAAGCTGACAGACATCAGAAAGGTAACATCTAGAGCCCTACACTTGGTGTCTTTTGTCTGTGTGGGCTCTGTCTTCCTTGACTTTCCTGTGAGACAAACTAGAGCAGTGGCTTATGGGAGGAGACTCTGAGAGTCTCCTTGGCCTCTGGATTCCCTCTGGGGAGGAGCATCCTAAGAGGGTTTGGTTTTGGGAGTTTGTGCTGGGGGGGGGCTGGCTCTACTGTGAGGAATGCTTCTCCCCAGTACTCCTTACCTTTTCTCTCTGCTCCCCAATACTTCCAGGGCTTCCAATCACTAGGCCTGTGCAATGGTGGTAGAGAGCAATGTCCACCCAGCACATATAGAACACCGGCTTTGTGCCAGGTATAGATGAGATGCAAAAGGCCCTGAATATATTTGATGTAGCTGTGAGAACAAGACACTGGACAGAGCAGAGGAAGCAAGAAAGGATCATACAGACAGCCCAGGGTGGCATAGGGTGCCTCGATGTCCTGGTTGATGTGGTTGAGTCCAGGTAGAGCCAGCTGGGAGTGTCCCTTCCATTTCTTCCTTCATGCACAGCACCAAGAGGCCTGTAGATGACCATTTACAGGGTGAAGGTCTGGTCAGAACAGAGCCAAGTCCTGTAGGGTATCAGAAAGCCAGGCTTGAATTCTGGCTCCTCCTCCCCAACTATGTATGTACCCTTGGGAACTAAGAGTGATTCTGACCTTCACTCTCCTTCCTTATGAAGTGGGACTTCCACTGAAGCTATTGTGGAGGGCAAGGGAGATGACGGATGGCCTCATGAAGCACCCACATGCACAGAGCACCTGGGAATGTCAGATGTTCACGGAAACAGTCTTTGGGTTGTTGTGAACGTTCCCCAAGATGCCTTGGACAAGACTCTGATTTGAACTCTGAGAATGTCACTGCTCTCTGTGACCCACTCCATGCTTCATCTCTGGGCCTGGCCGTCTTGTGACCATCTTGTATGCTGTAGGGTTGGTGTGGCTGTGGACAGTGACAGCGGCCTTGGGCCTCCCAGGTGGTGTGTAAGGTGTTGGCTCCTGGGCCTCCTGGTTTGCCTGGGATGTGCTTGGCATTTCTATGAGTGACCTGGACAGAGCTGAGCATTGTTCCTGTGGCTGGTTATGTAAGGCTAACACATGGCCAGAGAGCACGCATGTCTGGGCCTGGCAGCTCAGGTTCCAGTGGAGTTGGGCAGGAAAACCTCCTTGGAGAGGATCATGCGCCTTCTTTACCTGCCAGCTCTGATGTGGGGAGGCTTGAGGCTCCCTGACATGGGTGCATGATGACAGCAAGGGGGAAGCCCTTTACAAGGGATGGAGCCAGAGTGCACTGGGCTGGCTGCTCAAGGCAGTCTCTCTCTGTGGCTAGCCCTTCCCCTGGCTCTGTGGCTGGGCAATCGAGGCTGCTTTCTGATGTGGTGCTGCTCCTTGATGAGGTGAACCCAGGGCCTTGGCAGCTGCATCGAACACCTGGCACACATGGTATCTGTCCGTCCTGGCATGTATACAGCCTGTCCAGGTTCATGCCACCTCAGCTAGTAGAGGGGACCATTTGTTCAAAAAAGAAAAATTCTGTGTAGATTCTGTGTCTCTTGCATCTAAGATGCTTCTAATTGATTTTGTTAGTTAGTTAGTTTGTTTCCAGACAGGGTTGCTCTGTGTAACTTTGGAACCTGTCCTGGAACTTGCTTTGTAGACCAGGTTGGCCTTGAACTCACAAAGATCTGCCTGCCTCTGTCTCTGAAGTGCTGGGAATAAAGGCGTGCACCACTACCACCTGGCTGCTTTCATTTTTTAAAAAAAATAAAACTCTTACAGTTTTCTATACTTTATTATTTCAATGGATCTCAAAATTGCAAGCATTTTCAGAGGATGTACAAAGTTAAAATTGTACATAATTTAAAAGTCAATTTGAAGTACAAAATAAATCAATGGAATTGAGGCAATGGAATAAAATGCTTATTAACAGGCTTCAGATTACATATTATTAATGTAATATAATGAACATATAGCTCATATGTTATATTTAGGGTGCTATTAAAAAAAGATATCCATGATTATCTGCAAAGGCCATTAAAAAACTGCTTCCTTTTCCAACTACATTTCTGTGTGAGGTCAAATTTTCATCATATAGGTCAGCCAAAACAGGTGTGGCAACAAATTGGATGCAAACGCAGATAGAAGAGTCCAGCTGGCCTTTATTAGCCTGTACATGAAGGGGATTTACAAACTGTAAAACAATGCCACTCTTCCCAGGGCATTGTGTTTTTTTCCCTCTCATTCGAGAAAGCATAATCATCTTCATGAAGTTTGTTTATGTTACCATACAATGACTTACTTATTTTTTAAAGATGTATTTATTATGTATAGTGTTCTGCCTGAATGTATGCCTGCCGGCCAGAAGAGGGCACCAGATCTCATTATAGATGGCTGTGAGCCACCATATGGTTGCTGGGAATTAAACTCAGGACCTCTGGGAGAGAAGCCAGTGCTTTTCTGAGCCATCTCTCCACCCCATACAATGAGTTATTGACAGAATTAATGAATTTAATTTGTTCTTATCTTTAATTTCTAATACCGGCCAGATGGTAGTGGCGGAAGCCTTTAATCCCAGCACTCAGGAGGCAGAGGCAGGCAGATGTCAGTGAGTTGAAGGCCAGCCTGGTCTACAAAGAGAGTTCCAGGACAGTCAGGACTATTACATAGAGAAACCCTGTCTCGAAAAACAAAAAGAAAAAAAATTCAAATACTGTAAATCGCTTTTTGGGATTCTAAGATGAATAATTGACTGATTGATAACAGGCTCATAGAGCCAGACTGACTTTGAACTGACCTCATAGTGAAGGCAGACCTTGAACTTTCTGTGCTCTGGCCACCACCTCCTAAGTGATGGATTTACAGGCATATGCCGTGATCCCCAGTTTGGGATTCGGAATGTCTGTGCTTAGAGGGGTTCTGAGAGAAAAAAATGTTTAAGATCTGCTAGTCACCTCACCAGTCTGTGAGAGATGTCTAAAAGTCTGCTTGAGTTCTCTCTCTCTCTCTCTCTCTCTCTCTCTCTCTCTCTCTCTCTCTCTCTCTTTCTCTTTCTCTCTCTGAGACAAAACTTCTCCGTGTACCCCTGGCTGTCCTGGAACTCACTCTGTAGACCAAGCTGGTCTCAAACTCAGAGATTGGTCTGCCTCTGCCTCCTGAGTGCTGAGATTAAAGGCGTGGGCCAGCATCACTTTCTGTTTTTTGTAGTTGACTCCATTTTGCTTTACATACTTTGAAGCTATGTTGTTGGGAGCCCAGAGCTTCTTGACTGCTGTCCTTTCTGTTGGGATTGTTTGTCCACCTGTTGGGACTATTCTTCTTGGTTCCTTGTTTGTTTGAGACAGGGTCCCATGTGTGAACCTGGCTGGTCTGGAACTCACTTTGCAGACCAGACTGACCTTAGACTCACAGAGATCTGCCTGCTTCTGCTTCTACTTACTGAGTGCTGGTATTGAAGGCATGCCCTCCTTGTCGGGCCTCTTGTTCCTTTTAATGCTTGGGGAGCGAATCTGTGAATCAACATTCAGCTGGAACTTGAGCATGTTTTGGTGTGATCCGTGTTTCACCAAGAGACAGACAAGACTGCTGTGCTCATACTATGCTACAAGTCCGGAAGAAAGGCAGTTTCGGGCAGCGGGAGTGACCCACATTCTCCAGTGTATGAGCAAGGCTTCCCATATGCCCTGGGTCCCAGTTGCTTCTTCTATGATGTGAGGGTGAGCATTTCACTTCTCATCATCCACAGGGTGAGCTTGAAGATCAAATGAGATAATGAAAAAACGCCTGAGGATTTATTTATTTTAGACAGGGGCTAACTGTGCCATCCTGCCTGGTCTGGACCTCTCTCTGTGAACTCATGGAGATTTGCCTGTCTCTGCCAGCTGAGTGCTGGAACGAAAGGCGTGAGCGAGATTTGGGATTTTGA